TAGAATTATAGGTAGGCACCACCACAACTAATTTATTTCATGCTAGGATCATGTCCAGTCTGATCATGCACTCTATAACCTGAATGACATCTCCAATCATCTTTGTTTGTTCGTTGTTTTTTTTGTTTTGTTTTGTTTTTGCTATCAGGAAGCTCAATAAATTCTAGAATCTAGAGTCTAGGTAATCTTGTAACCATTCCTACCTGGATCAGAGAGGACCATTTCTGGCGAACTATCAGGGGGACTTTTGTGACTGGTTCTACTAAAAAAACAATGATTAATGGAATAACAAATTTCAAATTCATAAGAGGTTGCTATAATTGTTGCAAACATTGCTACTCTTCTTAAATAAGCCACCCAGTTAACTCACTTGGTGAATAGGCTGGGACAACAACCTCTGCTGTATTACTTAGTGTTGCAACATTAGGTCTAATAAAAGGCTTCTTTTGAGTAGTCTAATTTAGTAGTGTAGTCTGAATTGGTAATGTGAATAAAAAAGTGGTAGAAGACTACTCAATGTCTAACAACACTTACTCTTGTAAGGGACTTGGGGCTTGGTTCTCAGAACCCATATGGCAGCTCACAACCATCTGTAACTACATTTCCAGATTTGATGCCTTCTTCCAACCTCTGCAAGCAACAGGCACACATGTGGCATACAAACATACATGCAGGGAAAACAGTCTAACATATAAAATCAATAAATAATTTCTTAAAATTCTCTTTGGGGGGCTAGAGGGATGGCCTAGTGGTTAAGAGCATGTGCTGCTATTAAAGAAGACCAGAGTCTAATTGCTAGTACCTATGTCAGCTCACAATCATCTGTACCTCCAGCTCAAGGGACATCTAAATCCTCTGGTCTCCAAAGGCAAGTTATGTGTCAAACATACACACACACACACACACACACACACACACACACACACACACACACACACGAGAGAGAGAGAGAGAGAGAGAGAGAGAGAGAGAGAGAGAGAGAGAGAGATTAAAAATAAAAAATAAAATAAATCTTAGGAAAAAAATCTCTTTCAGCTGGGCTCGTGGTTTCATATCTGCCATTTCAGTACCAAGAAACTGAGGCAGGAGGATTTTTATGAATTTGAGAGAGGCTTGGGCTAAGTAAGTCTGAGCTTTAGTGAGACCATTTTTCAAAAAACAAAACAAAGCTAGACCTCATAGCCTATGCCCTTAGTCCCAGCACACAGGAGGCAGAGGCAGGCAGCTCTCTATTAGTTTGAGGCCAGCTGGTCTACATAGTGAGCTCCAGGGCTACACAGTGATACTCTGATTCAAGATAGGTAGATAGATAGATACATATATACATACATAGATAGATAAATAGAAGGATAGATGGATGGATGGATGATAGAGACAACTGTTCACTGGGTTAATGATAATATAAAGGAATTATTAAATGAACTTTGTCTTGGAATAATGGCAGAGTTTCCAATAATTTCTGAAATGCCCCTAAATATACTTCTGTAGCTTTTTAAAAAAACTACATATTTATGTGAAACTTTTCTCAATACTGATGAATTTAAAATCAAAATATCAACTCTGAAAAATACTGCAGATGTTCTATGTCCTGCAGTATCAAATATTCAACCATCACTTAACTTTAGGTAAACATAAACAAGCAAATCTATCTCACTATAATGCAAATTTGCTTTCATCTTCAGGAGTAAAAGCTTGTGTCCTAAACTATTTTTATAGTGCTGGTTTTGTAACAGGTTTTGCATCTCTTGACAGCAGTTGATGTTGCAGCAGGCAGGGGTAGCGGAAGTCTTGTAGGGTTACTGCTCTTTATCTGTGATTTATACCCAGGTAAAAATCAAAGAGCTACGGCCAGCTGATTTGTCACATTATAGGTGTTTATGAGGTACAATGTAAGGGTTACAGGGTTATGCTACTAAGCTCAGGCTGCATTGATTGACATTAACATAGTCAACTATGTTCAGTTACTTACTCTAATCTACCATTACCTTAAGGCATACATCATTATGTGTATGAATGGATTCATTCAGAAGTTATCTGGTTTTCTCTGATCACCAGGAAACTAATTTTTGATCATGTAGTTAATTTGAGAACCCATTTATTTGATGTTTTGACTGGCTTGTTCCTTGTCATAGAGATGGGATCAATGTCATGTATGGTCTTTCATCTTTTAAATTTGTATGTGTGTGTGCATGTGCATTGCACATACATTAGTTATTTTCTAAACATAATGCATGTATGTGGTTCAGTTTTACTCTGCACACAAATCTCTTCATATGGCATGTATTGCAAATCTGTGTTGTCTTCTAGGGTGGATTTTGGGGAAGGGTGCTAACTCCTTTAATTTTAATATTTGAAGTTGCTAGTTACCTTATTGCTTAGTTTTTCTTCTGTTAAAAAGAATTCCTGCTGGCTATGGTGGTACATTCCTCTAGCCCCAGCACTCAAGCAGCAGAAGTAGGATGATCTGGTAGGTTTGAAGTCAGCCTGGTCTATATAGTGAGACCTGGGCTGGAGAGAGGCTCAGTGGTTAAGAGCACTGGCTGCTCTTCCAAAGGATACAGGTGCAATTCCCAGCATCCACATGGTAGCTCACAGCCACCTGTAACTCCAGGACCAAACTTAAACATGGCCTCCCTGGGGACCAGGCCTACAGGTGGCCCCCAGGCATACATACAGGCAAAACACCTGCACACATGATTTTTAAAAATTAAAAAAAATCTTGCCTAGTAAGTCCTTAAATCACCTGCCTGTAGCTTCTAAAGTCTTATATTTTTTAACTTTTAAATCTGCAAATTATGCAGTGACACGGACAAATGCAAAACACAATGCACTTTTCCAACTAGAAATGAGATTGCCTTTCCCCATTTTGCTTTTTAAAATAGGGTCTTCTGTTTCTTAGGCTAATGCCAAACTCATGGACTATCTGCTTCTGCAGAGCTGAGATCTCAGGGGTGGCCTGGGCCCATGTTTTATACTTCTGGCAGTTTCTTCTACTGTCCTATGGTGCCTAGTGAATCATTAATAAGCTTTGGATAGAAATGCAAAGCCCTTGAGGATGCTTCTTTGGAGTATTTCTTCATTTGTTCGTACAAGGCTGTACAAATGATAATCTAAATAGTCAGTAGACAAGAAAAGACACTGTTTCACAGGAGGAAGGCTCCTTAGAAAAGACATGTGGTATGGTTATTTAAACAAGAATGACCCCTGTAGGCTCATATATTGGAATACTTGGTCCCCAGTTGGTGGAATTATTTGGGAAGGATTAGGAGATTTGGACTTGTGGGAGATGTCACTGGTGTGGGCTTTGTTTCACATCCCCATGTTATACCCACATCCTCTGTTTCACTGCAATGAACTTTTGTGTAAAGACATAAGTTATCAACTACTCCAACACCATGCCTACCTGCCTGTTGTCATGCTTCCACCATAATAGTCGCAGACTCAACTGTCAAACACAAATCAAACATTTTCATTTACAAGTTGCTTCGTCATGATCTTTAATCACCACAACAGAAAAGTAACTAAGACATGTGGCAATATACAAGTGAAAAAAAAATACATGGTTAATGGGCTGAAGAGTTATCTCAGCAGTTAAAGAATACTGGGTGCTCTTTCAAAGGACCTAGGTTCAATTCCTAGCACCTACATTGTTTTCACTGACTGTAGCTATGGAATGGGTAATTAACTCAGTAAATGTGAACCCTAGTCCAAGAATAGTCTTAGGTCTTCTGGAAAAGAGTTGTCTATGTGAATTCCTACAATAGGATATATTATATAGGACATCAAGAGGATAGCAAAAAGGAACATAAAAAGGTATTACAGAACCAAGAAAGGAAGAATTCATTCTTGGGTCTTGTTAGAGAAAGCAGAGCTCTCTAAGAGGCTCACTGAAGCATGTTTGGGCACAAAAGAAAATAGCAGGAAATCAAAACAACAATCAAGGGAAAGATTGAAGTTAGATTGGGTGTCCAAAAGCTGTTTCATTTTTCCAAATAGGTGGAACGTCTTGAACTCTATTTTTAAAACCCTGGTATTTACTAGAGAGGGAGACAATTTTAAAAAATGATTTCTTTTTATGTGCATTGGTGTTTTGCTTTCAAGCATTTCTGTGTGAGGGTATCAGATTCACTGGAATTGGACTTAGAGACAGTTGTGAGCTGCCATGTGGGTGCTGGGAACTGAACCCAGGTCCTCTAGAAGAGCAGCCAGTGCTCTTAACAGCTGAGCCATCTCTCTGGTCTGTGCAAGATGATTTTGATAGGTTTTTTTTTAGGAGGTACAAACCCTTCAAAGATAGGTCCAACATAAGCAAGTCTTCAGCTTGAAGAAATTAAATTTTTACTTAAGAGTTTTGTCAGGTATACCGATAGGACAAGCCTCTGCTGTGTGGCATTTGAGGGTGTTTTAAAAAAGGAGACATATTCTTTGTTGTCCTATGTACTATGCCTTCTATGTCCTACGGTTGCCCATGAGAATGGACTATTCCAAGTGGCTGATAGCCTTAATACAAATGGAGATATAGCTTAGAAGCTTAAATCTTATTGTTTCCACCTCCTAATTGCTTGATTATAGTGTTCTATTTTTATCAACTTCTCAGCCCATTTTTGTACTTTTTCTTATGAAATAGCATTGATATACATTCATGTGGACCTGTACTCACTCTGTAGCCCAGACTGGTTCTAAACTTGTGAACCTACTGCCTTGGCCAAGAGAGTAGTTAAGGACACAGACATTCTTCATACCGTTTCTGCTGTGTCTCCTAGTGAGGACAGTATGATTTTATTTAGTTTTTTTTCCTGGAGAATCCAGATGACATCATTCATATCCTGGTCTCTAGCTTAATTACATCTGCAAAAATGCTTATTCCTAATGTTATATTTAGAGGTTCAAAGGAAGTTGCCTTCAAACCTATACACACACACACACACACACACACACACACACACACACACACACACACACACTATGGAATATGGACATATACATACACAATAAACATATGTAATTCAAGATTCTCATCAGCATTTATTTTAATTTTATTTTTTATGAAATTATGTATAACTTGAATTGACTGTGTCCTCTAGTTAGCTCTTTAAAGACTCTGCAAAACATAAAACTCTGTATCTGATTTTTATTTTCCCCTCTTTACTTAAATGTTATTTCATTGATGTTGTGCCTCTCACTTTTATGATGTTAACTACTGTGCATATTTTAATCTGATTAAAATGTGTTATTCATTCCTAAATGCTTTATATATTTTGTTTATCTTTGAGTTGATTGGTTTTAGTTGTATTTGCTTCATAAATAATCTCCTAAGCTTCTGTAAAATAGTGGGAAACAACAATTTGGGGACATAGTCACTACATTCTGTGCAGCTACATGGAATCTCTGTCTGATGTCTATGTTCTGAGTGTTTGATATTCAAATTGGGGGCACTATTTGGGGAAGTATCTTAAAGTTTAGAATGTGCAGCATTGTTGGTCAAGGTCACAAAGACATGACTTTGAATCTAATACCCTTTCTTTGTATTATGCTTCCTATCTTTAAATGTCTATATCCTTTGTGTGTGCTGGGATTACAGTTATAAAGTATACATGCAGAAGCATATGCCCTATTATTAAGGTACACTCTGACCTTCAGTTCCTATATTTTTAAACAAACTTCACATATTCTATATGGTCATGCTGAAGCCACTCAAGGAAATAAAGTCCACTATCCACAAAGCACAGATATTTATGTATGTATGGGCTTTAATAGATTAGACTGAACTACAAAGTTCCAATGACCACAAATTCATCAAAACATTGCCTAGGGACCTATATCTCAGGATAGACCACTTGTCTAGAATGCCCAAGTCTGTGGTTTTGATCCAAAGCATTACAATAAGGAAAAAAAGACCCCCAAAGTAAAAAAAGTTGCCTAATGGATATTGGCAAGGTCCGTTATTATGTTTCTTTATTGGATTATAGTTAAACATTTTAACTTTTAATAGCACATTTAAGCAAAATTCCATTTGAAGAGTAACATGAAAATTACCTATCCTGATGTTTTGTTATACAATTTCCTAATGCATAAAAAAATTGATATTTTTCTACTGTGTGTATATGTTCTGTATGTGTGTGTGTGTGGGGGGAGGTACCTAACTATGCACATGTAGAAATCAGAGGACACTCAAGCTAGACATCAAGATTTTGTCTCAAAACTAAACAATTATAAAAATGTGACACATTAAAAATGTTCATAAAAATGGGACATTAAAACTTATAGACAATTTTACCTGATATACAAATGCCCCATGAATGTAAATATTCTAAACCAAGATGACACATGAAAACTCCTGTGTAAATACAAGACTCATAAGCCTACTGCCACTGAGTCACATTTAAGCCAAGTATACTTCTAAACTTCAAATACGCTCTCACTTGCATAAGTTATCTGATGGCTGGTACTGTGGGAGCATGGCTGAATGCCTTTTCTAGAATCGTTACATCTATAATTTATTGGCAAATCTGTAATAAACTCAGTTCAACTACTGAAGTGTTTTCAAATTGGACTCCTCTGGTTAATCACCTCTATTGGGTTTCTGATGCCAGATCACTTTCAAGTTCAATTTAAAATTTTTGGCACTCTTTATATTCTTAGGGTTTTAAATATATGGGTTGCAATGTCTTTACCTGACATGGGACACTTCAAGTAGGCTTTACTGCTTTTAATCATATGGAATAAGATCATCTGCTGCTAAGGCTAGTCTTCAGCCACAGAGTCTCAATAAAACTGCAGGATGAGGATCTAGAATTGAAAGCATGTGGTAATATACATCACTACAATTTTTGCTGTACCTGGCATATCATATATGAAGTTTCTAATGTAGAAGCCTGATTTCTATTTTAAAACATGTCAGACTGGGTGGTGGTGGTGGTGCACAACTTTAATCCCAACACTCAGGAGGCAGAGCCAGGAGGATCTCCGTGAGTTTGAAACTACACAGAGAAACCCTGTCTCGAAAAAAACAAAACAAATCAAAACATGTCCATTTTCATTAATTTCATTGGGCCCCACACCTGCATAAGTTTCCATGTGTGAATTCAAGGGGCTTAATATTAGAAAACTTTCCTCTGTTCTTAACATTCGGTGTTACTTACAGTATATTCAAGTCAATTGAAGAATGACACAGCTTTTCTACATTTTTTAACTTCATAGGAGACATTCACACATATGGCTTCTCTTACAGAGCACTGTGGTACCATGCCTTCAATTTTACAGAGATATGTCTCACTGTGGTTATGTGTTCATTGATAGAATAACAGCTGATTTACTCTAGAAGTTTACCATACTTTTAAAATTAATCAGATTTTCACCTGCAAACTTTCTGATTATACACTTTAGTAAAATTTCATTGATTCTTTACGTCCTTAGGCTTTCTCATCTGACTTTGAGTAAGGTGTGACATGAGAAAGAAAAATTTCTGCATTTGGTACACTTACAGAGTTTCTCCTTTGTATGAATTCTTTCATACACAGAGAAGTTGCATTTGCTTTGAATTGTTCTCCTGTATTATTTACATCTAATGACTTCTCATGTGTATGAGTTCTTTGATGTCGAGTGAGCTGTTTCTTGAAGTAGTAAGCTTTCCTACATTGTTCACATGCATAGGGCTTCACACCTGTATGAATTCTCTGATGTTGAGTGAGGTGTGACATCCAGGAAAAGGCTTTTCCACATTCTGCACAATGAAATGATTTCTCACTTGCATGAGTTTTCTGATGTAGAGAAAGATATTTCTTGCAGTAGAATGCTTTCTTGCATTCTGTACATTGATAGGGCTTCTCACCTGTGTGAACTCGATGATGCTCAATGAGCAAGTACTTATTATAGAATGCTTTTCCACATTGTTTACATTCATACGGCTTCTCACCTGTGTGAGTTTTCTGATGTGCAGTAAGCCCAGACTTGCTGTAGAATGTTTTCCCACATTGCTTACATTCATATGGCTTCTCATCAGTGTGAGTTTTCTGATGTACAGTAAGCTGTGTCTGAGAATAGAATGCTTTCCTACATTCTGTACATTGATAGAGCTTTTCACTTATATGAGTTCTCTGATGTACAGTGAGGTGGGACTTACAGTAAAATGCTTTTCCACATTGTTTACATTCAAAAGGCTTCTCACCACTATGAGTTTTCTGATGCACACTAAGGTTAGACCTCCAGTAAAATGCTTTCCCACATTGTTTACATTCAAAGCGCTTCTCAGCAGTATGAGTTTTCAGATGATGAGTAAGTTGTTTCTTAAAGTGGAAAACTTTGGGGCACTGTGTACATTCATATGGCTTCTCATCTGTATGAGTCCTTTGATGTCGAGTGAGGCACGCACTGAAAGAGAAAGTTTTCCCACATTCTGTACACTCAAAAGGTTTCTCACTTACATGAATTCTCTGATGTAGAGAAAGATGCGTGTTACAGTAGAAAGATTTTCCACATTTCACACATTCATAGGGTTTCTCTCCTGTATGACTTCTTTGGTGTCGAGTGAGTTGTGACTTATAGTAAAAAACTTTCCTACATTCTGTACATTCATGTGGCTTTTCACCTGTATGACTTCTCTGGTGGACAGTGAGATGTGACTTATAGCTGAAAGATTTTCCACATTCTGTACACTCATAAGGCTTCTCACCTGTATGACTTCTCTGATGTTCAGTGATTTGTGACTTGTAGTAGAAGTATTTCCCACATTCCAGACATTTGTAGGGCTTCTCATCTGTATGAGTAATTTGATGCTGAGACTTGGTGTGGGAAGCTTTCCCATATCCTGAACTTTCATATGGCTTCTCATCTATACAACTTCTTTGATGTTCAGTGAGGTGTGACTTCCAAGAGAATGTATTCCTGCACTGTCTATGTGTATAGGGTGTCTCCTCTAAAGGGCTCTGACCGTTATTGAGAAGTGATTTATAACTGAAAGTTTTCTTACATGAGAGTGTGCTCTGATCCCTTCTGCGCTGTGACTGTTGGCAAAACATCTTCACACATCCTTTCCCTTCATAAGATGTCCCCTGGCAGATTTTCTGTGCCACCTTCAGTTCTGCCTTGATACAGAGGAATTAGTTATATTTCATACAGCCACAGGGCTTTTTCCTAGAACATGCTTTCTAATTTTGGTTTAGAATCTATCTTGTGCTATATAGATAAATGTCATATATAAAGATATCTAGTATTTATTGAGTTTACCAGAGATCTATTTAATATGAAAATTTATGTGTAAATAATATTGTCTTTAACAATCACTGGTCAAATATATTGACAACATCACTTTCAACTTTGACTGAGATTATGGCAAATTAACGATCAGGATGTCAGAATAATTTTTCCATTATCATTAAAGTTATCATGTTCTTCTCCAGCTGTAATCTTAACAACCACACAATAGAGAAAGACACTCAGCTATAAGTTCCTTTGTAAGTATATAGGAGGGAACAAATGTGTATACACGTTTATGTGTGTCTGTGTATGAATATGTGAGGTTACTAAAGATTGCTGTTCAGTGTTTTCATAAATAACTATTCACTCTATATTTATTTTTATTTTTTGAAAAGGTCTCTCACTGGACCTGAACCTGCCTAGTTTGGATGGAATCACAGGCCAGCAAACCCCAGTAACCCTAATCTCTCTGTTTTCACAGCACTGGTCAGAGATACATATTGCCACAGCTGTCTTTATATATGGGTGCTGAGTATACAAACTCATGTTCTCATGCTATGTCTAGCATTTTACTGACTAAACAATCTTCCCAGGCCTGAGTTAATTTCCTTCATTTTTCAAATTATATTGGTGTTTGTGTATATATGTATGCCATGACACACATATGCAGGAAAGAGAACAAATTTCAGGGTTTTTCTTCAGCATCCACCACATGGGACACGGGGATCAAACTTAGATGGTCAGGCTTGGTGACAAGTCCCTTTATAAACTGAGCCATCTTGTTGACCTGAGATAAGTTCCTGAAGAAAGATTCCTAATTTCCAATCTTTGTTTACATTTACATCTGAAATATGTTAAGAACTCATGTTAAATATTTTACTTACTTCAACAGTTTCTTCACTTGATGTCTGGCTGTTGGTGATTTCAACTTGCCACAAAAGTCCCTTGTGATATTCCTGGTCATTCTCAATTGGGACAGTCATTTTATGAACACCTAAAATGACATTGAAAATATCCCCGTCCATGAATAACTCTAAAATCTTTTTCATGTGTCTTCTCATTCTCATAGAAACTATAAAATAATATTGACTTTTGATAATGGTACACATTTTATTTCTTCATGAAGAATATAAAAATTATTTACTTCATCTTACAAATAAACACTGAATACTCCATGGGATTAAAGGTGTGTGCCACCATGCCTAAACCAATCTGATTCTTCTCACAGTTGACTAATACACCAGAAATGTGCCTCATCTTTTATGACGAATCTAATGATGAACACAAAGGATGATATCATATCTTGGTTACTGTGAGCATGGGACTTGATGGGCAGCCACTGTATCCTTAATCCCATCACACATATAGCCAGACACAGGAGACCTGCATCACAGCTGAATAATTCTATATTATCACCAACTGTGTGTATGTGTTCTTTCTTCACATATTCTCAGTATTAATCCCATATTGAATGATTACCTAGCAAAGGTATTTCTTTTCTATGGATACTTCTCCATAGGACTTCTCCACTCTGGTTATTGCTGGGTAGAAATTTTAAATTTAGGAAATGTATTCATTTTATGTTATTGTAGCTGTTTTTGTTCGAAATCTAGTCTCATCTGTCATTTTCTGGTCTTGAACTTAGTATGTGGAAGATGACCTTGAAGTCCTCTGACTTTGGGGGTTTTACGCATGAATCACCATGCCCTGCTATACGTTCACATTCTACAGGTGTTTACATTTTATTCAAAAGTCAAAATACTTGGCTTATTCAATTGTATTCACATGAATTTCTCCAGCTGTTTCAAGATTAAAGGCCTTCTATTAAGGTCTCTTCCATAAGTACAGGGGAAGAAATACCTGTCTAGGTTCAGTCTTTTATGTGCAGAGATCTACTTTTTATAAAACTCTCTTTTAAAGTCCTTTTGATGAAATATTGATTCTTTGTAATTTGAGAAAAAGATGGTTACAGTTGTGTGAATATACTTTTGCATCATTGTGTTAGTCCATTACAGTGTCTGTGATAATGGTTTCTGCCAACAGCTTACTATTTTTGCTAAAATAGCTCTTGTAGCATTATTTGGAAGCAGGTATGTCCAGCATCACACCTTTTCTACAGGATTCCATTGGCTGGCTGGACTTATTTCTTTTGTAAAACAATTACATGTTTATATTTTCCTGTTTTCTAAAGAATAAGTTATCATTTCCTGGGAATGCCTTGAATGTATAGATAGCTTTCATTAAAAGGATATTTGATGGGCAGTGGTGGCACAAGCCTTTAATCCTAGCACTCGGGAGGCAGAGCCAGGCGGATCTCTGTGAGTTCGAGGCCAGCCTGGTCTACAGAGCAAGATCCAGGACAGGCACCAAAAATACACAGAAAAAGCCTGTCTCGAAAAAAAAAACACCCCCCCCCCAAAAAAAAAAGGATATTTGAGGGGCTGGCTAGATAGCTCAGCTGGAAAAGATGCTTGCTGTGCAAGCCTGGTAATGTGAGTTCAATCATTAGAACTTACATAAAGGTGGAAGGAAAGAACTCCATATAGTTGTCCTTTGACTCACACATACATGCTATAATACACATGTCCTGTCATACACAGCATGCCCAAACACTGAATAATAATAATAAACTTAAAAAATAAGTTTTGAGTATATTAATTGCATTAATTTTGAGTATATTAATTGCATTAATAAAGGAACATGTGAGGTCTTTACTCTAGTGTCTTCTTCAATCTCCCTTTTAAAAAAATCACGTTTAATTATTTGTTTATATGTGAGAGTGCACACAAACCAAACCACATGTGTGGAGGTCAGAGGACAAATACATAATAGTTCTCTCCTTCCACAATAATAGTCTTGGATTAAACTCAAGTCCCTTTATCCACTGAGCTATGTTGCTAACATCTCAATTTCAAAACTGTGTTAAAGTTTTAACAGTACACACAATTTAGAGTATTCCTAGGCAGCTTAGATTTTTTTAAAGCAATTTTAAATTACATTGTTTTCTTCATTTCCTCCTCAACATGTTCATTTTTCAAATGTAGAAAAGATACTGGAAGCTAAGGATAAAGTTCAGCTGGTAGAGTGTATGCCCAGCAAAGTCCTGGTTTCAATCCCCAGCACTACATAAAACTAGGCAAGGTGACACCATTTTAGAAATTCAAGGTGATCTTAAATTAAAATCAAGGTCATCCTAGGCTACATGAGATGCTGTTTCAAAACAAGTTACTGCACAGCTTGAAGCCCTATCAATGAATTACAGCACTTGATATATGTTAAGACCCTGGATCTTATTCTTAGCAGAAAAAGGAGGGAGGTAAGGAGATGTAACCAATTTGCTATGTTTATTGTGTAACCTGCTACTTAAAGACAATGTTTAAGAGCCCTATGGTCATTGAAATATAAGGGCATGTCACCGGAAAATTGAATTATCACTTATTTCTTTCTTAACTTGTATTTCTTGGTTTCTTTTGCTTGCTTTTCTGCTCATTATAAAATTAACATCTGTTTGAAAAAGATTCAAGAGTGAACACCTTGTATTGTCCCTTACATTAAATGAAATGTTCTCAGTTTAGATGGATCACTCCATTCATTTATTTCTCCTCTTCCCCCCTTTTTTCTTTTCTTTTTGAGACATAATCTCTCTATGTAGTCCTGGCTGTAATAGAACTCACTATGTAGACCAGGCTGGCTTAATAACTCACAGAGATCTTCCTGACTCACTACCATGTCCAACACATTCATGTTTTAGCACTTTGACCAGTCATGAATCCTACTGTAACCAGTACTTACTGCAAAAGTAAGCTTCTCTGACCGAAGCTGACACTGGCATTAATCTATAGATACATGCATGAATATTTAACCAGCAATCTGACAGGCACATCAGGTCCATTTAGGAAAACATGAGCAGTAGCTTCCTCACTAAGGCCTCTAACTACCCCAGTGACACATATGACAATTCAGTCACTGAGTTAAGTTATTAGAGTGATCATGTTGTGGCACAGTTGTCACTTTTGCTTGCTCTTTTGCCACAATGGCTGAGTTTCCAGAGTGCCATTGGTGCAGGTGTAGGCTAGCTCTTCTCATTTTATGTCAGGGTCTTTTCCATCAGCAGCCTTCATTTGTAGCCTCAATCTCCATCACTACTAAAAGAAGAGAAAGCAAATTGCAATAACAACACTGCTATCAAAATAAACCAGATATAAACATAGAATAAATATAAAAACAAATTAGAGCCTGCAAGATGGAACCAAGGGTAAAGAAACTTGCTGCAAATATGATGACATGAATTCTATCCTCAGAACCCAAATGGTAGGAGGAGAGCCAACTCCCACAAATTGTCCTCTGGTCTCCACAATAGTGAGCCATAATGTGTACAAGCACACACACACACACACACACACACACACACACACACACACACACACACAATAAATAAATGTAAACAGATGAATTAATAAATAAAAGTAAAAAGTGATACACTGAAGAATATGTGATTAATGAAGTACAAATTTCAGGCAAAAATTAATAAATATTATGCTAGGTATGGTGGCACACACCTTTAATCCCAGCACACTGAAACAAAGGCAGGCATATCGCTGTGAGTTCAAGGCTAGCCTGCTCTACATAATGAGTTCCAGTACAGTCAAGGCTACACAGAGAAACTGTCTGAAAAAAAAACAAGTAATAATAATAAGATGTAAATGAGAATAAAAAGGGTTTCCTTTTTAATCCTATTTCAGAGCAAGGAAAGTAGAAAAGAGGTGTGGTGGTTTAAATAGGTATGGCCCCCATACTCATGTGTTTGAATTCTTAGCCCATAAAGGGTTTGCATTATTAGAAGGTATGGCCTTGTTGGAGGAAGTGTGTCACTGTGGAGGTGAGTTCTGAGGTCTCATATGCTCAAACTACACCCAGTGTGGTACACAGTCTCCTTCTGCTGCCTGCAGATTAAAATGTAGAACTCTCAGCTTCTCCTTCAATACCATGTCTGCCGGTATGTCACCATGTTTCCCTCCATAATAATAATGGTCATGGTGTCTTTCCACAGCAATAAAACCCAAAATAAGACAACTGTAACACAGATCTTAAATGGTCTTACTAATAAAAAACCAGGGCCAGATATTGGGGTGAATTCTGAAAGATCAGAGTAGCAGAACAAGCCACAGCCAACCTCACCTTGACAACTCCTCATCTGATCTTGTTTCCACAAATTCTCAGACTGAAACTTCTGAGTTTTTCCCGAATGGATCTCAATTGAACTGCTGATAAAAGCCTAAAACCTTAAAAGGTTCTAGTTCCTAATCCTCAGGCCTTACATACCTTTCTACTTCCTGCCATCACTTCCTGGGATTAAAGGCGTGTGTCTTTCCCAAGCAAGAAATGAGATCTCAAGTCCTGGGATTAAAGGTGTGTGTCACTATTCCTGGCTATTTCCATTGTGGCCTTGAATTCACTGGAATGCTAGGATTAAGGGTGTGTGCTACTAAAAAATTTCATTATTTATCCTATTTTAGTGAGTTCAATACAAAATTTGTATACAATATAGAAAAATCCAATCCAATGTAAAATATTTAAAACAAATAGTTCCTTTTCAAAAGCAGATTCAATAATCTACCCCTTACCTGTATCCTCTTTTTTTTTTCTCTCTCTCTCTTTTTTTTTTTTTTTTTAAACAGCAACCCTGAATTTACTCTCCTTTGTTTAGCTGGTTTTTTTTGGCAGTGGGGCATGTGTGTGTGTGTGTGTGTGTGTGTGTGTAAAAACTGAAAGATCAGAGGCATAGGAAAAGCCACACCAACCTCACCTTACCCTTCCTCAGTCTCCAAAAAGACCTACTTCCTGTATACCCATGCCTATATGCCTTTCTGTTCTGCCATCTCATTTCCTTTCTCTGTTCAGCTACATCACTTCTTCTTCCTGCCTAGCTCTGTCACTTCCTGTCTGTCTGTACAGAACTCCTGACCTTTATGGTTAGTGCTGGGATTAAGGGTATATACCACACACATGCCTCTGTTCCCAGTGTGGCCTTGAACTCACAGAGATCCAGAAATAACTCTGCCTCCTGAGTAATAAGATTAAAAGCATGTGCTACCATTGCTGACCTCTATGCTTACTATAGTGGCTAGCTTTTTCCTCTGATCCTCAGATAAACTTTATTAGATTGCACAATATTTTGTGGGACACAATACATCACCACAGACAACAAGTTAAATAAAAGGAAAATAAAAAATAAGAATAAAAAGGGAAAGGAATACATGAGAGGGGAACATAAAACCATAGGAGATAATAAATCTGGTTGCAAAATAAAAAAAAAAAATACCAGGTTAAATAAACCTGCAAGGAAGACTAAAGATATAAACACAAAATAACTGAATAAAAAAGGAAATAAAGTAAAAACACTAACTATGAAGAAAAGAGGTTAAAGAAGAGAGGAGAAAAAAAGAACAATTTTTCTTATCTGTGTTCTCTGACAGTACTATCCGTTCAGAGGCAATGTAGGGTGGCAGTTACCGGTGTGTTGCTAAAGTCTAATATAAGTAAGTCCTCTGTTCTCATCTTACCAGATAGTCCTGTTTGTTGGCTAACTGCTGGCCTCATCAAGATTATATGTCAGCAACAGGGAAGTATTCATTTAAAAACACACATGTTTGCATGTAAGGAAAACACACATCAGAAACAACCAAAACAAGGTAATGGGTTGATATGGCTAATTGTTTCCAGAAATTGCAAAAATCAAAAGTCTGGTTGGGAGTAGGTAAGTTGGTGAAAAGCATTTAACATGACCAACAGGATGAACTGTCCTCTTGCTGACCTCCCTTGCTCAGTACGCATTTACCAACCTGGAAGGCTCTGGATAGAGGCTTCTGCTAAACTCCATGGCCCAAATCCATGCTCTAACTTGAAGATCAACTCAGGTTTAGTCGTGCAGTGTCCTGTAGTGAGAAATAATAAACAAAATTTGCAAAAGTGTTAGGTTCGTCCACTAATGAAAGACAAGAGATCTAATTAAGGACCTGAGCTTTGATCAATGAATCAGAAACTTTCATTAGAGGGTTTATACTAACATTCTTCACTGACTGGATTATTACTTTCAATCAGCATTTCCAGAAAATTTTAAGAAAACAGAGGTGAATAAAAGAGAAAACACAATAAAATTAGAACAACAACAACAAAAGATATTTATGGTAGTTTGAAAAAAAATGGTTCCCAAAGGGAGTGGCACTATTAGGAGGTGTGGCCTTGTTGGAGGAAATGTTTCACTGTAGGGATGGGCTTTGAGGTCCCTTTTGCTCAAGCTTCCCTCAATGTGACTGTCAGTCGACTTCCTGTTACCTGCAAGATGTAGGATTCTCAGCTTCTCCAGCACTATGCCTTTCTGCATGCCACCATACTCCCTGCCATGATGATAATGGACTGAACCTCTAAAACTGTAAGCAAGTCCCCTCAATTAAATATTTTCCTTGTAAGAGGTGCTATAGTCATGGTGTCTCTTCACAGCAATGGTAACCCTAAGATAACATTTAAAACAAATTATACTGGAGAGAATAATCATAAAAATAATCAGTCGAAGGACTGAAGGGATAGCTCAGTGGTTAAGAACACTTGATACTCATACAGACCCAGATTCAGTTCTTCGAACCCTTATCAGGTGGCACACAACCACCTGTAACTCTAGTTCCAGCAAATCTAACACTCTTTATCCTCTGCAGGCACTGCATAGACATGGCATAAATAAAAATGAATTTTTTTTTTCAATACAATTCAGTTCTACGTATCAGCCACAGATTCCCTTGTTCTCCCCCCTCCCGCCCCCCTCACCTTCTCACAGCCCAACCCCCATTCCCACCTCCTCCAGGGCAAAGTCTCCCCTGAGGACTGAGATCAACCTGGTAGACTCAGTCCAGGCAGGTCCAGTCCCCTCCTCCCAGGCCGAGCCAAGCGACCCTGCATAGGCCCCAGGTTTCAAACAGCCAACTCATGCAATGAGCACAGGACCCGGTCCCACTGCCTGGATGCCTCCCAAACAGATCAAGCCAATCAACTGTCTCACCGATTCAGAGGGCCTGATCCAGTTGGGGGCTCCTCAGCCATTGGTTCATAGTTCATATGTTTCCATTCGTCTGGCTATTTGTCCCTGTGCTTTATCCAACCTTGGTCTCAACAATTCTCGCTCATATAAACCCTCCTCTTTCTCGCTAATTGGACTCCCAGAGCTCCAGCCGGGGCCTAGCCATGGTTCTCTGCATCCAGATCCCTCAGTCGTTGATGGGGTTTCTAGCATGACAATTAGGGTGTTTGGTCATCCCATCACCAGAGAAGGTCAGTTCCGGCTGTCTCTCGACCATTGCCAGCAGTTTGTTGTGTGGGTATCTTTGTGATTTCTGTGGGCCTCTCTAGCACTTTGCTTCTTCCTATTCTCATATGGTCTTCATTTATCATGGTCTCCTATTCCTTGTTCTCCCTCTCTATTGTTGATCCAGCTGGGAACTCCCGCCGCTCCCTTGACCCTCTCGTTCCCTTGACCCTCGCCTTCCATTACCCCCACTTATGTCCAGGCTGTTCATATAGATCTCTTCCATTTCTCCGTCATTGGGCGATCCCCGTGTCTTTCTTGGGGTCCTGTTTTCCAGGTAGCCTCCCTGGTGATGTGAGTAGCAGTCCAGTCATCCTTGTTCCTCCTATGAGTGAGTACATACCATGTTCGTCTTTCTGAGTCTGGGTTACCTCACTCAGGATGATTTTTTGTAGATCCATCCATTTGCTTGCAAACCTCATGATGTCATTGTTTTTCTATGCTGAGTAGTATTCCATTGTGTATATGTACCACAATTTGTTTATCCATTCTTCAGTTGAAGGGCATCTAGGTTGTTTCCATGTTCTGGCTATTACAAACAATGCTGATATGAACATAGCTGAACAAGTGCTCTTGTGGTATGATTGAGCATTCCTTGGGTATATGCCCAAGAGTGGTATAGCTGGATCTTGGGGGAGATTGATTCCCAATTTCTAAGAAAGTGCCATATTGATTTCCAAAGTGGTTGTACAAGCTTGCATTCCAACCACCAGTGGAAGAGAGTTCCCCTAGCTCCACATCCTCTCCAGCATAAGGTGTCTTCAGTGTTTTTGATCTTAGCCATTCTGACAGGTATAAGGTGGTATCTCAGAGTTGTTTTGATTTTCATTTCCCTGATGATTAGGGATGTTGAGCAATTCCTTAAATGTCTTTCAGCCATTTGAGCTTTCTCTGTTGAGAATTCTCTGTTTAGTTCTATAGCCCATTTCTTAATTGGACTGTTGGGCATTTTGATGTCTAATTTCTTGAGTTCCTTATATATTCTGGATATCAGTTCTCTGTCAGATGTGGGGTTGGTAAAGACCTTTTCCCATTCTGTAGGCTGTTACTTTGCCTTGTTGACCGTATCCTTTGCTCTACAAAAGCTTCTCAGTTTTAAGAGGTCCCATTGATTGATTGTTTCTCTCAGTGTCTGTGATACTGGTGTTATATTTAGGAAGTGATCTCCTGTGCCAATGCGTTCAAGACTACTTCCTACTTTCTCTTCTAGCAGGTTCAGAGTAGCTGGATTTATGTTGAGTTCCTTGATCCACTTGGACTTAAGTTTTGTGCACGGTGATAGATATGGAACTATTTGCAGCCTTCTACATGTTGATATCCAGTTATGCCAGCACCATTTGTTGAAGATGTTTTCTTTTTTCCATTGTGCACTTTTGGCTTCTTTGTCAAAAATTGTATGTTCATAGGTGTGCGGATTAATGTCAGGGTCTTCAATTCGATTCCATTGGTCCACATGTTGGTTTTTATGCCAGTACCAAGCTGTTTTTATTACTGTAGCTCTATAGTGGAGCTTGAAGTCAGGGATCGTGATGCCTCCAGAGGTTGTGTTATTGTACAAGATTCTTTTGGCTATCCTGGGTATTTTGTTTTTCCATATAAAGTTGAGTATTACTCTTTCCAGGTCTGTGAAGAATTGTGTTGGTATTTTGATGGGGATTGCATTGAATCTGTAGATTGCTTTTGGTAAGATTGTCATTTTTACTATGTTAGTCCTGCCTATCCATGAGCATGGGAGCTCTTTCCATTTTCTGACATCTTCTTCAATTTCTTTTTTTCAGGGACTTAAAGTTCTTTTCATATAGCTCCTTCACTGGCTTGGTTAGTGTTAGCCTAAGGTATTTTATGTCATTTGTAGCTATTGTAAAGGGTGATGTATCTCTGATTTCCTTCTTAGCTTCTTTGTCCATTGTATATAGGAGGGCTACTGATTTTTTTGAGTTGATCTTGTATCCTGCTATGTTGCTGAGGGTGTTTATAAGCTTTATTAGTTCCTTGGTTGAATCTTTGGGGTCACTCAAGTATACTATCATGTCATCTGCAAATAGGGAAAGCTTGACTTCTTCCTTTCCAATTTGTATCCCCTTAATCTCCTTATGTTCTCTTATTGCTCTGGCTAGAACTTCAAGTACTATATTGAATAAGTATGGGCAGAGCGGACAGCCTTGCCTCGTTCCTGATTTTAGTGGAATTGCTTTGAGTTTCTCTCCATTTAATTTGGTGTTGGCTGTTGGCTTGCTGTAAATTGCCTTTATTATGTTTAGGTATGTTCCCTGTATTCCTGATCGCTCCAAGACCTTTATCATGAAGGGGTTTTGGATTTTGTCAAATGCCTTTTCTGCATCTAGTGAGATGATCATGTGGTTTTTTCCTTTGAGTTTGTTTATATGGTGTATTACATTGATGGACTTTTGTATGTTGAACTACCCTTGCATCCTTGGAATGAAGCCTACTTGATCATGGTGGATAATTGTTTTGATGTGTTCTTGGAGTCTGTTTGCCAGTACTTTATTGAGTATTTTTGCATCAATGTTCATGAGGGAGATCGGTCTGTAGTTCTCTTTCTTTGTTGTATCCTTGTTTGGTTTAAGAATCAGGGTAATTGTAGCCTAATAGAAGGAATTTGGTAATGTTCCTTCTGTTTCTATTGTGTGGAACAATTTAGAGAGTATTGGTATTAACTCTTCTTTGAAGATCTGGTAGAATTCTGTGCTGAAACCATCTGGTCCTGGGCTTTTTTTGGTTGGGAGACTTTTAATGACTGTTTCTATTTCGTTAGGGGTTATTGGACTATTTAAATAGTTTATCTGGTCTTGATTTAACTTAGGTATGTGGTACCTATCCAGGAAATTATCCATTTCTTTTCAGTTTTCCAGTTTTGTGGAGTAGAGGTTTTTGAAGTATGACCTGATGATTCTCTGGATTTCCTCAATGTCTGTTGTTATGTCCCCCTTTTCATTTCTGATTTTGTTGATTTGGATGCTCTCTTTCTGTCTTTTGGTTAGTTTGGATAAGGGCTTGTCTATCTTGTTGATTTTCTCAAAGAACCAACTCTTTGTTTCATTAATTTTTTGTATTGTTCTCTTTGTTTCTATTTTATTGATTTCAGCTCTCACTTTGATAATTTCCTGGCGTCTATTTTTCCTGGGAGACTTTGCTGCTTCTTGTTCTAGAGGTTTCAGGTGTGCTGTTAAGTCACTAGTGTGAGTTTTCTCCAACTTCTTTATGTGGGCATTTAATGCTATGAATGTCCCTCTTAGTACTGCTTTCATAGTGTCCCATAAGTTTGGGTATGTGGTGTCTTCATTTTCGTTGATCTCTAGGAAGCCTTTAATTTCTTTCTCTATTTCTTCCTTAACAGTTGAGCATTATTCAGCTTCCATGAGATTGTAGGTTTTCTGTAGTTTTTGTTATTGTTGAAATCTAACAATGAAAATGAATTTTAAAAAATGCTTTAAGTGCTGAAATGGAATGAGGCTGATAAGAGGTAGTGGGTGAGGCTGCTTGTGAGTGGTACAGGTGAAAGGAATTAGTGCTGGTCAAGTCTTCCAGTTAAGATCTGAAATCTGTGTAGAGTGAGGAGGAAGCAGGATTGAACAGGGGAGGCTTAAGACCAAAACACTGGTTTAAGGGTCTTTGATCACCAAACTGGGAGTCCTGGAGAAAAGGTTGCTCACTAGAGGATACTGACATACATAGAGATGACCAGGCCATACTATCCACAGTACTCGGCGATAGGGTGGGGAAGAGCATGTCCTTGACTCAAAGGCTAAGTGGATCCATAGTCTACGAGATGAGGTTGTCAGTTAACCACTTTGTATAGCTGAATAGCAGATTGTTTCCTCAGCACCTACAACCTGGAATACAACATTAAATAGTCACAAAAGCCCATGGGAAGGCAATCAAGAGAAAGGTGGCCTGCTATGTTGGTGAGTCTTTAGAAATTAAGGAAGGAATAGAGAATGAATTGAGCAAAGAACTTGGCAAAATGGGTACTGAGAATGCTGAAGAGGGCACCTTCAGTGGTGTGGTTAGAATCAAAGCTTAACTGGAATGGCTTGTGTGGTGAATGACAGACAAGGAAAGAGACAGAAATTAAAGATAACTTTGAAAGCTTTATAAAATGGCAATAACTGAATGAGTATGAAGTGCAGAACTCTTCAGTTTCTTTCCATGTAACCTTGGCTGCCCTGGAACTCCCTGTATAGATCAAACTAGCTTCAACCTTTGGCTCTGCCTCCTGAGTGTCAGAATTAAAGGCATGTATCACAACTCAAAAACAAAACAACAACAACAAAATGCTTTAAGTAAACTAAACTGTTAAGCACATATTTAATTCCAGCATTTGCAAGGCAGAGGTAGGTAGATAACTTTGAGTTAAAGGTCAGCCTGGTCTATTTAATGAGTCTTAGGCCAGCCAGGGCTATATAGTGAAATACTTTCTCAAAAATGAATAAATTAAATAATCCAGGCAGATTTTTGAAAACTGAAAGAATTTAAGGATAATTTAAAATATACGCATCATCATTGAAAAGCAAATGTGCCTTCTATGTGTATTATTTAGAAAAGACAAAGACATCAAAGAAGAAACAGGTGAGATAAGGCATATATATCAACAAATGACTCTGTGTCACATTATAATCAAATAGGAAAAATAGCAAGACGAAGAGAATTCTCAACACTTTAAGAAGAAAGTCTAATGATGAATATATAATAACACCCACTAGAGGTACAGCCATGCTTTTTAGCTGTCATCATATTCACCAGCATTACAATGACTTCAAAGCTACACATGGATACAGCAAACAAACCTAAGGTACAGTAACCCCAATGAACACAGGCACAAAGATTCTCAACAAAAAAAATCAACACAGCACATAAAACAATTAGAAGCTATGGTCATGTGTGATTCATACTAGGAATGCAGCCTTCACCATATGGAAATTTGAAACCCTCATATCCATGCACTAAACAATAAATAGCTGTATTTCTAGATATAGTGGCATCCACCATTTATCCTAGTAATCAAGAGTCAGAGAAAACTGATTTCTGTGAGTTCCAGGGCAGCCAGATTTGCACAGTAAGATCCTGTCTCAAAAAACCACTACTATCACAACAAAAACAGTCATATGAATGCAATGGACGTATGAAAGGTATTTTTATCTTCAGGAAAAAAACTTCAATCAATAAACTATGACTATATACAACAAAACCACAGTCAACAGCTAGGGGAGTGGAGCAAGCCTGAGATGATTTCCCCTAGGAACACAGCAGGATATGCTTTCACCACTCTTAGCTTACTAATAAAGACACATATACCCGATAAGGTAAAGAAACAATAACATCTAAAAGAGAAAGGGGAATGTAAAGGTGAGGTTATTTATAAATGATGCTATAAAGGGAAAACCTTATACTCTAAACCAGGGCTAATGGATGATATAACATGTGACAAAAACAGAAGTCAAACACCAAACTTCACACCTTCTGTGTCCACGAAGAACAAATTTGCTGAGAAATTCAGAATAACCTCCTTAAAAATGGCCACTCAGGACCAGGCATGGTAGTGCATATATTTAATCCCAGTATTTAGGAGTCAGAGGTAGCCACATTTCTATGAGTTTGAGACCAGCCTGGTCTATACACCAAGTTCCAGACCAGTCACGTAAAACCATGTCTAAAAAATAACAATAAACAAATCAACAAAAAACAGAAAGCAAAGAAAAAAGAAAAGGTTCAATACTGGAGCTGGGGAGAAGTCTCAGTGGTTAAGAGCTCTTACTGCTCTTTCAGAGGCTGTGGGTTCAATTCTCAGCACCTACACGATGGTGCACAACCATTCAGTTTTGGAGGATCTAATATACACTTCTGGCCTCCCAGGAAATCAGGCTTTCATGTGGTACATGGATACACATACATAAAAAACCCATACACATTAAATAAATAAAAAAAAATTAGATTTGATTCAAGACAGTGGGAGCTGCCAGCACCTGTGGGACCAAGGAGCAGCTCGAGGAGCCTGAGGGGAGATGCATAGGAGAGGACTCTTCAGAGCCCACAGTATCTCCTGAACAACTACAAAAAGGCAGGTCTTATGAGAAGGTGCTTTTTTAAAGTGCTCTCATGAAACTGGAAGGAAAAGATGGCAGAACAGAGATGCATGATGAAGAATGGTGAAACTAGAGCTGCAGCAGTGAAGGGTATGGGAATGGTATGGGAGTGTGGCCCCAGCAGACAAAGAACATGTTGTTGCTGAATAGAAGAGCTCATCCTCAGGCCACCGCTGCAGTGGACTGGGGAGCTTTGCCCATTAGTGCTGGCAGGGTGGTTTTAAGCAGCCTTGGAGCTCTCACAGGCTGTGCTCCTGAAATCACTGCCCAGTCATACAGTTGCCCTGACTGCGCAACGAAAGGATGTCGAAGATGAAGAATGGTTCATTTTCTAGATTGGACCTCCTCGAAAGACATCCATGGTCTGTGCTGTCACCAGAGGCCATGTGGTATCTGTTGTCCATGCTATATAGCCAGGTGATGTGCTGGTGTCAGTGATCTATATTCCCTGTAGAGGCCATACTGGCATCCATGATCTGTGCTGCCAATGGATGCCATGTGGATGTCTGTTGCCTGTGCTGTCGCCAGAGGGCCATGATGATGATGTCTGTGGTCCATTGGAGGCCATGTTCATGTCTGTGATCTGTGCAGCCACCTAAGACCATGTTGATGTTTGTGGTCTGTTTTACCACTGAAAGACATATGGATGTCCATGGCCTAGGCTGCTTCCTGAGACCATGCTGCTGTCTGTCATCTATGCTGCCACCAGAGGCCATGTCCATGTCAGTAAACTGTGTTACTGCCAGAGTCCATGTGGGTGTCCACTGTCTGTGCTCCTACTGGGGGCCATGTTGATGTTTATGGTCCAAGGTACCACTGAGGGCTATGTTAGTGTCCATGGTCCTTGCTGTGGCTAGGAGGTCTTATTGATATCCATGGTCTGTGCTGCTGCCATAGGCCTTGTTGATGCCCATGGACCATGTTGCTACAAAAGGCCATGCTGATACTGGTGTTACTGCCAGAGGCCATGTGAATATCCATGGCCTGTGATCCCACTGCAGCCATGTTGATGACCATGGTCCATGTTACCACCAAAGGCCATGTGGATGTCTGTGGTCTGTACTGCTGCTGAAAGCCAAGTTGGTGTCCTTGGCCCGTGATGTAGCCAAGGACTGTGTTGATGTTCATAGTCTGTGCTGTCACCATAAAGCCTTATGTTGTTAAAACATTTTAAATGCCATACTCTGTAGGTCTTTGACATGTTTGAAGACCATGTATCTATCTAAATATATCTGTTTAACCTTTAAAACATACCTAATATGACTACAAGTTTGATTATTATAGGTGACTATTAACCTGTATTTCTTAATTATACATTACATTTTTAAATGAGTTGTATAAGCACAGTATCTCAAACAAGAGTAGAAACAAATATACAATATAACAGAAATAACTTTAAATAGGTATCAAAAATTAAAATCCATACCAATGTAAAATATTTTGATGTTAATAGTTGCTTTGGGATTAAAGCAGATTCAATATTCTACCCTTTTTTTCCTATTATTTCTATATCATATCCTCATTTTCCTTTGGAAGAAGGTCTTTGAATTAAACTGTTGTTTAGCTTTTTTTTCTTTTTCTATGACCAATAACAACCCAACCTCCTTTAAATGATAACAAGCATCCATAACCAATATTTTGGGAATGTGGGCATCATTCTCTAGATTATTTCATGTTGTTTGTGGGTGCTATTATCTTTGGACCCTGAGAAAATTTAGGATAATGGTTAAGTCTTGGCTGTAGTAGTCTGTGAGGCTGGATCATCTTAGCCAGCAGCCTTGAAGTTGTTCTGGATGCTGGATCACCTGGGCCAACTGTTTTTATTGGAGTTTGATCCTGTTGCTCTGAAAATACATAAACTTTTAAGGATAACATACATATCTGTATTAATAAAAGTATAGACTGCATATTTATTGTATACAAGTCAGCCAAAGATGATTTTTTTTTTGTTTCATATTTGAGCAGGTAAAATATACGGTATGTATTTTGTAGGTTTTTTGTTGTTGTTATTTCTTTATGTCTGTAGTCAGGATTTTCAGGGGTTTCCTCAATCAAACCTGGTTTCTTCTAACCCAGAATGAATCCACAGCTTCTCATTTCCTGTGGAAATCAAGGCATAACCTTTCCCTCAAAGTAACATGCCTTTTGACTTTAATTTTGAAGTCAAGATATTTTTAAAATATATAGGTTGGTTTAATCTACCAGGTTTCATAATCCAGTGTCTCTTGCAACCAAAAAATTTAAAGACAACACAATAACATATAGGATCCAGACTCTCTGTATTTTCTATTTTTACGTGGCTTTTTAAATATTACTTTACTCCCTTTTTAAAGACTTTATTTTTTAAAACTATATATTTCTTTATGACTGTCTCTACCTTCTCTTTTTTCTCTCAAGCCTATGTATATTTTTAAGCACACTGTAACCCATTTAGAGGGTTTTTTTCTGTCTGAATCTGTCTTTACTGTATATCTAACCTTTTTTGTCTGTATGAGCAAAACCCCAATGCACATATCATGGAGCTGGGAGACATTGCTCTGTACGTTGGCCCATGTGAGAGACTGCAGGAACCTGGCATGCACTTTAGCTCCATGCTGGCAGTTGCCAGGAGATGTGTCTCTGTACTGCAGCCAGCATAGGAGTCACGAGGCTAGGAATTCTCAGCTCCATCAGGCGTTATGTGTATGTACATGGCCCTAGATGTTGGGTGCCATTTGTAGGTGAAGTTTTCCTGTCCCAATCACCACTCC